CCCCAAAACCCCAAAACCCCAAAACCCCAAAACCCCAAAACCCCAAAACCCCAAAACCCCAAAACCCCTTAAAAAGGAATGTGTTAGAGTTAATTTATTAATAATTTAATCAATATGGTATCGGATTCTGCATATAAAGATTTATCCAAACCAAACAAGAAGTTGTTCAAGGAAGTGCTCAAACTTTATGATTCTAAAATGTACAAAAAGGCATTTAAAGTTGCTGAGAAGATCACAGCCACCCAACCTAATCACAGTGAAACTTTAGCAATGAAAGCATTGATCCTAAATACTGTGGGAAGGAAGAATGAAGCAATGAAGATTATTAACCTCGCCATCATGGCCAACCTTGGTTCATATACTAGTTGGAACATTAAAGGAATGATAGAGAGGACAGCTAAAAATTTTGAATCTGCTAAGCAATGATTTTCTAGAAGTGCACAAATTGAAAATGACAACCAGAAAAATTTCAAAGATTTGATTCTCCTAGAGCTACAAGAGAGAGATTATGCTGGAGCTAATGTCTCTATCACCAAGTTGATGCAGAAACAAGCAAGAAACAAGGTCTATGCTACTCTCTACTTTTTGATCAACCATCTTAATGGAAATTATGAGATAGCCGAGGATTTCATTGAACAAAACAGAGATTTTCTTATGTCTAAAATGGAAAGAGTTGAAAAGAACGAATTTTATCTCTATGAAGCTACTCTCTACAGAGATCATGGAAAGTATGACCAAGCTATCAAGGTTCTCAATGAAAATAGAGTTGAAATCTTTGATAAAATAGCGAGAAACGAACTTTTAGCAGAGCTTTATATAAAATCTGGGAAAACTGGCAAAGCAATTGCAAGCTATGAAATTATCTTAGACAAAAATCCTTCAAGCACCAAGCATTATTACAATCTTTTTGAAGCCCATGGAATTGATGTGAACAATCTAGATGACGCCGATCGTGAGAAAATCATTGAGATTCTTAACGAGAAAATAGAGAAGCATTCTAAATTACTTTTCTTAAAAAGATTCCTTTTGAACTTCCTGAACAAAGAGGAAGATTTTAGAGTTCACTTTGAGAAATATTGCAGACATTTCTTGACAAAAGGAATTCCATCTCTTGTAAATGATATTGAAAACACCATTAAGACAGATGAACTCAAGATGAAGGTTGTCAAAGAGACATTTGAGAAATATCTCGAATCAATGCAGAAAGATCTTACCATTGATGGAGAAGAGCAAGATCCAATGCAAGAGACATTCCTTCTCTTCTATCTCGCCCAGATCAGACATATTGAAGGAGATTATATTAATGCTTTGGAGTTAATTAAGGAATGAATCGAGCAAACTCCTACATTTGTGGAAGCATTCCAGTTCAAAGCTAAGGTCCTTGTTTCCCTTGGATGTAGTCAAGAAGCCGAAGAGGCCTATATCGAAGCTCATAGCCTAGACACTGCTGATAGATTCCTTAATGCTGAGCTTGCTAGCTACACTCTTAAAACCGGAAAGTACGAAGAAGCAAATGAAATCATGAAGAGATGGAGTCTTGACCAAAGCAGCGACAAACTAAACACATTTGATCTTCAAAATGCTTGGTATGAAGTAGAGTCTGGAAACAGTCATTACAAATATGGAAGACATTTGCAGGCATATCAAATGTTTAATTACATCCAGAAGCATATTGTGACAATGCATAAGGATATGTATGATCTCCATTTCTACACAGTGAGGAAGTTCAACCTCAGAACTTACCTTAATGTGAGGAGCATGCAGGATAACATCAGAAGAAATATCCATATCAAGAATGGAATGGTTGGATATATCAGAATTATTAATAAATTCTACAAGAAGGCTGAACACGGCACAGATGAAGAAAAGAAGGAGTTCACTCAATGGCTAGAAGATGAAGAAGCTAAGCATGCTGAAACTGAGCCAGATGGTTGGGATGAATATTCTGAGCCACATGACCCACTTGGAGCAATTCCTGATCCCACAGGTGTAATATCACTTAAAACTATTTTTGACTCTGGAGTTGCGAAACATATGGCCGATAAGTGACAAGAATTCTTGAGTTACAATTCTAATAGTTTGGAACTTCTGTATTATTCAATTCCGTGGTTATTAAGAGCAAAGAAATATACCGCTGCTATTAGTAATCTCAAAGCATTAATTGAGAAAGATCCAGAATCTCCAAGAACTATATATGCTGCTGTAAAATTCAGAGCTTACTTCAGTGAAGAAGTCTCTGGATCCTTGAAGCCAAAGCAAAAGGAGAACATCGATAAAGCAGTAGAAGAAATCTTTGGCGCTGAAGAAATAGAAGCTTTCTTAATTAAAAATACCATTGAAAAATATCCTAATTGCTTGAATGCTGCTAGGTATTACTTAAAAGGACTACAGAAGCATCTAGGAAAGGTCCTTTCTAAAGAAGAGTTTGGTGGTGTCCTCAACACTTTTACTCAGGCCAAGGAAGAAGCTACCCTAAAATGCTCAGTCATGCCGCAAATTGAGGAAGTCAAAAAGTTAATCTCATACGCTCCCCAAGAGGCCAAGGATGAGCTCATCAATGCTGCAGATGAAGTTTACTATAATTTCAAAGCAACACTTCTGAAGGAACAGCAGGAATAAAGAGAACATATTTATGTGTTAAGAGTTCAGACTGTTCTCAATTTAAAATTAACTTGTGGGGTTTTGGGGTTTTGGGGTTTTGGGGTTTTGGGG